GACTGAAACACTTTGCTTTCCCGTCTTTGTTGAAATGCATTGGCTATTTGTACAGGGTATTCTCCCTTTTTACCAAGCCAACTTCATTTCTAATTTGTACTTGTATTCCTGTTGCTCTTTCTAGTCTACCTTCCCTCACTGACAGATGAGTTGAATTTTTGGTGGGGGAAGGTCTCTGGCCCAGCATGTTTCCTTGATGCTGAGTTTGGGCACAGCAGGGGCCTGTCACTGTTCAACAGTGCTCACTATTAACTCCCAAGAACAGACTTGCTCAGACATCCAAGGCATCAGTTGCAAACAGGAAAGGAAATAAACTTTTTATCCACGTATCGCCTATCGTGAGACCGGAGGAGTTATTTACTAGCTTGGTTGAGCAATGTGAATGCTGTATTTTTTTTTAATATATATAAATCCCATGATATATTAAACTTTGGAGCACCATCTGGCCCTGTAAAGTGGGCAAACCTGTTGTTCTTTAATACAGTATGTATGTAAGGTAATTTGAGAGCACTGTCTTAGCAACAGCAGGGTCATAATAAAAATAAAGCTTAGTGCAGTAAAAAATTGTAATTGCTACCAGAGGTCTGATTACTTCCTCCCACAAAGGCTAGATGCTGCTCTATTAAGAATGCTTGTTCTGTCTTATTCTGCATTTTCTGCTTCTGTTACTACTTGCAGTATTACTCAGCAGTGAATTAAAACCATGTTTGTTTAGAAGAGGCTATGTTTGCCCTAATTCCTGAGTATTTCTTTTAATCGGAGAGTTAGAAACTTGCTTTCACTGTAATTGTGTCTGCAGAACTGCAAGCTTGGTTACAGATGGGGACAGAGAAGAGCTTTTGGAGACTTTTACGAACCAAGGCCTGACTGGGGCTATGAAATCCACGGCATGGAAACTTGCCTGGGGCCATTTCTCATTGTCTGCCTCTGCTGCCTGTGTAGGCAGCTTTAGACATGTCAATGCTAATCCAGAATTACTCAGCTTCTTACAGAAGCTTCAAGTGCAAACACTTGCATCGCTGGAATACCAAGGTGATGGAGCTGAGCTGCAAAATAAGAAGCGTATGATTCTCGTTGGGCTTAATTTGCATGGCAAGCTACCATGCTAGCAGTCCTTTTCAGTTTTAATCTTTTTATATGTGAAATTGCAGAGATAACAGTAGAAATCATACTTTGTCTGTACTGGTTTTAATTCTAATTCACCCTGCAAGTCCAAAACTTTATAAACTGATGAGGTCTTAACTAATGAAGTATACTGCCTTTGAAATCCAGGCCTGGTATCAAAACTGTATTTATGGTCTCCTGTAAACAGCACAGCTTGGTCCTGAGAAGAGTTAAGACTACAAAATTAAAAAGTCCAGGTAATTTCCAGTCGCTTCATGCACTATGGATTCTTTCACTAATTGACTTGGAAGCTACTCTGTGGTGGCATGTAGGTTCTTGCAAATTTTATCCGTATAAAGTTCATTGCTTCTGAAATAAGTATGGGGGGACCTTAAATCTCCACTCCCACCCCGTTTTCTACTACAAAAAAAGTCTTCATCCTCATCTGCCCCCCCACTAAAGCTGCGCCTTGCCTTCCTCTTGGACTTAGAAGGCTTCTATTTGTGCTTGAATAGTAAATGCAGAACACTTTATTCAAGAAATATTATTTTAATGAAGTTACGAGCTTGAAAAGAATCTGACTTGAGAACTTCACTGCAGTTTCGTTTAACTGCAACCTTTGGCATAAGGAACAGCTGTAATATTGGAATTGGTGCTGCACCTCTTACGTGCCTTCTACCTGGTGACTTTCAAATTGCATGTAGCATATGCAAAGTTGGATACAGCAAATATTCGCCTTGGGAGGGGGGGAATCACATTTACCAAAAGTTTCTTTTGAGATCTGGAAAGCCTGGTTTATTTTGAGTCCAAACAAGTTTCTCTTAGAGAATCAATTTAGCCCAGGAGGTCAAGAGCATTTGAAGCCAACAAGCAATCAATCTCTCACAAAAAGAATAAGAGTATGCTAAAAATCTGTGTAGTGAATATGCAGTACTTAAATAACGAATATACTGAACTTGTGAGGGTTTTTTAATAGCAATAGTACTAAGTGAAAAATGAATTTATTGAGCGAGAGGGAGAGAAGAATTTTACTCTTTCTTTTGCATTTTGGTTTGAATTCTCAGTTAAGATGGACTTTAGCAGAAATTTTTTGCTAAAATAGAAGGCAAAGTAGTAAAGCAAAGAGTTTAAAATAAAGCTATAAATGAGTGCTCTTCTGTCTCCAATTAAGAATACTTAGTTCTAGCAAGATATGAACTGACAGGTTTCACTTTTGACAAAATAGTCATAAACAGTAAATCTTTTATAAAAAGGGTAATATACTGCAAGTCACGTTAAGATCAACATAAATATAGTCAGTAACGTAAACTGACTTTGTTAGCACTGTAAAATGTTGAATGAGTTTAATAACTGCCTGTAGCAATATATGTAATACTGTACCTTTATGTGAAATACTCTTCAAACTGTATTTACAGTAGAAATAATTTTAATAGTTCTAATTTGTTCTGCATTTGCCATTTATTAAATTCAAATTATATTAAGGAATTTTAAATCTCAGTATCAGTTACACTTTTTTTTTTTCCCCTCTGCTGCTTGAGTTTATATTGCACTGAATTGTTTTGGAGGAAGAGAAAATGATAGCAGAATTTACTGGAGAAGAACAGTCTTGTCTTGAAAACATACACTTGTCTCAGCAAAGGAAAAATCTGATCTAGATTTAGCCAAATGCTGACCTTGATAAGGAGACATGAGAAATTAATACCCTTCCCCCTTGAAAAGCATTAGAAAGGGCTAATGTGGAAACTAACAGGCAAAAAAAAAAAAAAAAAAGTGAATGTTCTCAGGAGTACATGAGAGTCTGAAGGACTCAGTTTGGAGTATGTAGAAAATATTAGAAATCAGGAAGTATTTCGAATGTCCTGGCATTTTGATGAAACAGGAGGTACTGATCCTCTGGTTCCCTGTGCCAAGAGGTTGGGTGTGTCCTGAGAGAAGGCAGAAGACTCACTGGGATGGAATTCCAGAGGGAAGAGGTTGGGATCAGGTTCTGGTGCTGGGATGAGGGCGGCATGCGGAGCTACCTAACCCCATGCTTGCCAGGGCTGCGGCTTTGCGATCTGAGCCTGGCGGCCTCGGGCTGGCAGTACTGAAGAAACACATTTAAAGACAGAAAAAAAGTGAACGTAACGGTTCACTGGCTTGCAAGTTACGGATTAAATTATGCTATATATTATAAAAAATTCCAAGCTATCGGAAGAAAAGACCACTAGCCTTTCTTTCCCCTTCTCCTGTCTAGGTAGGAGATGCTCAGATCCTTCCTCTGTGAACCGTTGCTGTCCCTTATGCAATACTGGGATGGAAGTGTGAACAACAGCAAGATGCTGTCAGAAGCTGGTAGGTAGCAAGCCCTCAGGTGAAATTATGTATTCTCAATGTAAAATTCATTGGGAGCATAATTTTAACAACCAGTATCTTACCTGGTTGGAAATGATAAACACTCATGAACAAAGACCTGGCTAACTATATTGGGCACTGGATTTTTTTTTTTTTTAATTAAGATCTTAAAAATGGATTTTTTTTAAAACCAAGAATGGACAGTGCTTTTCCTAGTGCAATTTTTGTAATGGTATTAAGCTTACAGAAGAATTTATTTGTAGGGAAAACTGTATTGAACACTTCTATTGCCAATGCAGGCAGCCAGAGCCTGAATAATATTTCCCATGCATACAGCAAAGAAGTAGGATTGCTTAATTTTCGGATGAAACATAAGAAAACTTTTCAGAAAAGGTAAGTAGGACAAATGAAAGCAATTTACAAAAGCACATCCTCCTTATTCTCTTTAAAACACAAGGGAAAGTTCAACAACACTGGAAAGCAGTGGACCTAAAATAGATGGATGATGCTTTGTAAAGAATTCTGGATGCATTACACGAGAAACCAGCACTCACCGCTGTGAGCGAGCTGTCGCTGCGATCGATAACTTTTCACGTGGGCAATTTGAGTATCTGCAGTCCCAGACAGCTCTGCTCCATGCCCCTGGGATCGCTCTAGAGGGTTTTATAGGTGATTTCCCCCTCTTCCTCCTACCCATTCTATCTCTGTGTTCTGTCCTTTTGGGAGCAGACCTCCCGCGTGGTACCTTGTCACCTCTGGTAGGTGCACTCTAGAGACGCATAAGAAGGCATTTCTTTTACTTCAGATAATATGACTGTATTATCCCGGTGGTAATTAAGCCCTTTTCTAAGCCTTGTGCTATATGCCTTTGGAGGAACTCCTATCTCCAGAGGAACTTTGAGGGATGAGGTAACCTGTCCTCTCTTGGAGCTAGGAGGTGTTTGCGGCACGAACATTTGGACACCAGGAAATCCCTTGCCCTTTTTTTGACAGCGTTTGCCTTTTTGGAGGTAGGAAGATTGACGCTGCAGAGAAAGAAATGACTATTCTTACACAACTTAGAAAATCACCCTGGCTTAAGGTCTTCTTCAGCAAATTTATGTATCCAATATAAGCTGAACAGCTGCGAAGATCTACCCAGGCTTTCCAGCCAGCACAGTGCTACCAGAGAGATGCTCAGGAAGGGGGCGCAACCGGAGAGACTGATCCTGGAGTCCTTGTCCTCCTTAGAGGCGTGAGGTTCCTCCAGAGGAAACTCTTTTGGAGGAGAAGTCAGCTTAGGAAGGAAAGAATTGAAGGAAAGTGGTGTCCTTTGGGCCATCAAAGACGTTGTCTATCCCTGCCCTTGTCCGTCTTCATTTCTTCTCCTCTTGGCTGGTTGAAGGATGAGTTTGGCCCTTTCGTGACTTCAGCAAAGGCCTGTTGATACTCTACGGACATAGTTACGACCAAATGCATGCGCAAAGTGGCCTTAACTATACTTCACAGAATCGTTGAGCTTGGAGAAGACCTTTAAGTTCATCGAGTCCAACCGTCAACCCAACACCGCCGTGTCCTGACGTACCACGTCTATGTGTTTTTTGAACACCTCCAGGGATGGTGACTCCACCGCTCACCTTACTTGCTAGTAAGAAACTTCCCTCCGCCGCTGTGGCTCGCGTGACCACCGAAATCTTAGAAATCTTGGCTTCGTCGGACGTTTTTCTTCCCGGCTTTCCGCATTCCGTAGGCTTCGTGGCTGCTCGGACAACTTCCTCGCTTCGCGCTTGGGCGCAAATTAAATGAATACGCCCGAAAAACGACGAAAGAATTTGGGGGGGGGGTGACAATGATGCTCACCCCCCCGGGAGGCGCA